TCACGCCTATAATCCCAGCACTTTGGGAGGCCAAGGCAGGTGGATCATGAGGTCAAGAGATCAAGACCATCCTGGTCAACAGGGTGAAACCCTATCTCTACTAAAAATACAAAAATTAGCTGGGCATGGTGGCGCATGCCTGTAATCCCAGCTACTCGGGAGGCTGAGGCAGGAGAATTGCCTGAACCCAGGAGGCGGAGGTTGCGGTGAGCTGACCCATTGCACTCCAGCCTGGGTAACAAGAGCGAAACTCCGTCTCAAAAAAAATAATAAATTAATTTTTTAAAAAAACAATGCACAGCCAATCTCTCATCAATGCTAGTTCTGTAAACGAATGAGAATTCCTGATAGACAACTTTGTATGGGCGGCTCCCTGACCCGCCCTTTCTTTTAAAAGTCACTTGGAACGGCTGCTGGTTGGAGGGTGGACCCAGGGCAACTGGAATCTGCGCTCCCAGGTTGCAGCCTTCAGGCTTGGCCCAGATAAACTCTCCACTTGGATTTAATTTGCCTCAGCTGCTTCCTTTCAGGGAGGCACAGTGAGCCCCTGAAAACGATGTGTGCAGAGGTGACGGAGGATCTCCCAGTGAGGTCGTCCTGAGTGGGAGCAGCCCTGAATCCAAGGAAACTGCTCTTAGAAGAGAAGAGAGGGGGAGAAGATACACACAGGGAGGGTCCCGTGAAGATGGAGACAGAGGCCAGGTAGCACAGCTGCAAGCCAGAGGCCACCTGGGGCCACCAGGAGCTGGAAGAAGCAAAGCGTTCTCCCTGGGAGGCCCCAGGGAAAGTGTGGTGCAGCCGCCACTGTGACTTTGGACTTCTGGCCCCAGCACTGTGACAGGACGGGTTTTAAGCCAGGTGGCTGGTGGTGGTTGGTTATGGCAGCCCGGGGCGCTCCTGACCCTCTCCAGAGGCACTGCAGCCCGGGGAGTGCTCTGTGAGCTACACCTGGCTTCCTCCTTTCAGCAGTGATTCGTGCGTTGCTGCACGTAAAGCCGCCTCCCCATTTTTAATGTCTGCCTGTCCCGAATCCCATCGTCTGGATGGAGTGTGATTTATGTCACCTGCTCTTATCCAGGCACGTTGCAGCAGCTTCCAGCGCCTGACGACCTGCAGATAGAGCTGTGCCAATAGCCTCGTGCAGATGTCACTTAGCACTCGTGTGCACGTATCTGTGGAGCTGCTGGGTGTGTGCACTGTGCGTTTCTGTACCTGTTTCAAAGAAGGCGTCGCAAGTCGCTCCCACCAGCGGTCGGTTAGGATGCCTCTCTCCCACTCCTCGCCAACAGAGGATTCTCACATTTTTGTCTCTGCCAATCTGATAGATTAAAAACGGTCTTACATTCTAATGTGAACTTGCGTTCTTTCTTTTTTCCCGTTAGGGCAGGAATCCATCCACATGTTTGACAGCCGTCACACGCCCCTTTCGCCAGCTGCTTGGTACTTTGCCCATTTCCTATGACTTTGCTGGTCTTCACTACACTGATTTACAGAACTTTTTTTTTTTTTTCAGAAGGAGTTTCGCTCTTGTTACCCAGGCTGGAGTGCAATGGCGCGATCTCAGCTCACCGCAACCTACGCCTCCTGGGTTCAGGCAATTCTCCTGTCTCAGCCTCCTGAGCAGCTGGGATTACAGGCACGTGCCACCGTGCCCAGCTAATTTTTTGTACTTTTAGTAGAGACAGGGTTTCACCATGTTGACCAGGATGGTCTCGATCTCTTGACCTTGTGATCCACCCGCCTCGGCCTCCAAAAGTGCTGGGATTATGTAGGAACCAAGCAGAGCCTTTCCTGTGCCCCGCCTTGCAGATACTGTGCTGCGTTTCTCGCCTGTCTTTGCTTATCATGGTGTTTTACACTAGGCAGACATTTTTAGTTTCATTATTATTTATTTTTGTCCCTTTTTATGGCTTCTGAGTTTGTGTCCTATTTCAGAAGATCTTCCTCCTTCTAAAACTAGTAAAGAAAATGACTCTGTTTTCTTCTAGTATGTTTATGGTTTCCAATTTTATAAAAATACCTGCCGTAGCTGTAACATATGGAGGGCGTAAGGAGTGAATTAAGAATGCAACGTTATTTTTTTCTAGAAAACAGTCTAGTTATAGTTCAGTCGTTCAGGTGGGGTCTTCTGAACAACTGGAATTCATCACACTGAGAGGCAATATCACCTCTCCTGATACCACCTCTCCTGCGTCCTCACTACCTGATGCCGCCTCCCCTGTGTCCTCATTACCCGACGCTGCCTCTCCTGCGTCCTCACTACCTGATACCGCCTCTCCTGTGTCCTCACTACCTGATACCGCCTCTCCTGTGTCCTCACTACCCGATGCCGCCTCCCCTGCGTCCTCACTACCTGATACCATCTCTCCTATGTCCTCACTACCCGATGCCGCCTCCCCTGTGTCCTCACTACCCGATACCGCCTCTCCTGTGTCCTCACTACCCGATGCCGCCTCCCCTGTGTCCTCACTACCCGATACCGCCTCTCCTGTGTCCTCACTACCCGATGCCGCCTCCCCTGTGTCCTCATTACCCGACGCTGCCTCTCCTGTGTCCTCACTACCTGATGCCGCCTCCCCTGCGTCCTCACTACCCGATACCGCCTCTCCTGTGTCCTCACTACCCGATGCCGCCTCCCCTGCCTCCTCACTACCCAACGCCACCTCCCCTGCGTCCTCATTACCCGACGCTGCCTCTCCTGTGTCCTCACTACCTGATGCCGCCTCCCCTGCGTCCTCACTACCCGATACCGCCTCTCCTGTGTCCTCACTACCCGATGCCGCCTCCCCTGTGTCCTCACTACCCGACGCTGCCTCTCCTGTGTCCTCACTACCTGATGCCGCCTCCCCTGCGTCCTCACTACCCGATACCGCCTCTCCTGTGTCCTCACTACCCGATGCCGCCTCCCCTGCGTCCTCACTACCTGATACCATCTCTCCTATGTCCTCACTACCCGACGCCGCCTCCCCTGATTCCTCACTACCTGATACCACCTCTCCTGCGTCCTCACTACCCAACGCCACCTCCCCTGCGTCCTCATTACCCGACGCCGCCTCCCCTGAGTCCTCACTACCTGATACCGCCTCCCCTGCGTCCTCACTACCTGATACCATCTCTCCTATGTCCTCACTACCCGACGCCGCCTCCCCTGAGTCCTCACTACCTGATACCGCCTCCCCTGCGTCCTCACTACCTGATACCATCTCTCCTATGTCCTCACTACCCGACGCCGCCTCCCCTGAGTCCTCACTACCTGATACCGCCTCCCCTGCGTCCTCACTACCTGATACCATCTCTCCTATGTCCTCACTACCCGACGCCACCTCCCCTGCGTCCTCACTACCCAACGCCACCTCCCCTGCGTCCTCACTACCTGATACCATCTCTCCTGTGTCCTCACTACCTGATACCGTCTCTCCTGTGTCCTCACTACCCGATGCCGCCTCCCCTGCGTCCTCATTACCCGACGCTGCCTCTCCTGCGTCCTCACTACCCGACACCGCCTCCCCTGCGTCCTCACTACCTGATACCGCCTCTCCTGTGTCCTCACTACCCGACGCCGCCTCCCCTGCGTCCTCACTACCTGAGTGTTTTGGATCCATTTCTGATTCTTCTGCCTAATTTCTTTGCTGTCTGACTAGTGTGTCCATGTCCCAACTACTGCAACTTTATAGGCTCTATGAGTATGGAGATCTATTTTAAGACATTCCTAATATGAAACCATCTTCAAGTCTCCTAGGTCATGGCTCACACGGTTTTGTATTGGTGTTCATTCGTAAGAGTGGCTTATGCTTGTCGCATTGGGTGTTGGTATCACTCTTATGGTAGTTTCATAAAGAGAATTTGGAAATTGTCTTTCCTTATTTATGCTTTGCATCCATTTAAATATTATCTGTTCCTTAACAGTGTGGTGGAATCACCTGTGAAACCGTCTGGGCCTGGAGCCATTTGTAGCTTGGCCGTTGTGTCAGCATTATAGTCCCAGGTATTACAGTTACGCTCAGTGGTGTAACAGGAGGGAGCAAGGCAGTTACGGAGGGCGATGCCTGTGAAGAATCTAAAATTATAGTAAAATCAACTGTTCTTACCACATCTGGTCAATTCTAAACAGCAACACAACACGCCCCCTTTTAAAAGGACCCACTGATAGCATATCATGGAAACACACCCTCCCTAACAAGCTAGGACAACTTCTGAGCCTCTGCCGGGGCACAGTGCCCAGTTTCGTAGCTGGGTTGGTAGGCAGTTACATCATGTTCAAACCACACTAACTTATTCCCCCAGAATGAGAAGACAGAGAGTGAGAATTTTTCATCAAAATTAGTTCTGTGACACTCTTATAAAAAATAGGAGGGAAACTCTCACAGAAACCCTGAGCCTTCAAAAAACCATCAAGTACGGCAGCTCCTCAAAAAAAGCAAAATTAAGCATCAAATTACCAGGTGATCCAGCAATTTCACCTCTGGGCATATATCCAAAGGAATTGAAAGCAGAGATTCAAAGAGATGTTTTACGCCCGTGTTCACAGCAGGCTTGCTCACAACAGCCAAGAGATGGAAGCCACTCGCGAACCCACGGACAGAGGCGTGAGCAAGCGAAAGATGGTCTATGCATGGGAAAGGGGAGCCAGTCTCAGAAAGCAAGGACACGGCCTGACAGACACCACAGGACGCATGAGCCCTGAGGACATGACGCTGAGTGAAACAAGCCAGGCGCCTGGGACAGACACCGTGTGGTTCCACTTGTGTGGGGTCCATAGAGCAGTCTGGTTCATAGTGACAGGGTGGGATGGTGCAGGCTGGGGCCTGAGGGGCGTGGGAGGGAGCGTTCAGTGGGGAAGGCTTTCAGTTTGGGAGGATGGGACGTTCTGGAGATGGATGGTGGTGATGACTGTCAGCAGTGTGGATCCGCTTCGTGCCACTGAACCGCACACCTAAAAATGCTTGAAATGGGTAAATTTTCTCTTATGCATGTTTTGCCACAGAAAAATAAACAAATAATTAAAACAAAAAGTTCTTTTTATTTTTTATTTTTGAGAAAGAGTTTTGCTGTTGTTGCCCAGGCTGGAGTGCAGTGGTGAGATCTCAGCTCACTGCAACCTCCTGCCTCAGCCTCCCAAGTAGCTTGGATTACAGGCACACACCATGGCGAATTTTGTATTCTTTTTTTAGTAGAGGGTTTTCTCTATGTTGGTCAGGCTCTTCTCAAACTCCCAACCTCAAGTGATCTGCCGCCTCGGCCTCCCTGGGATTACAAGCATGAGCCACCGCGCCCGGCTGCCACGTAAAGCAAACAGAAAAGTGTTAGAAAAATGTTAAACAGAAGAAAAGAGAGCGAGAGAGAGAAGAGATAACCAAGTTATCCACCAGCTGCTGGATCTGCGGCCTGGCCAAGCCCCTCTCGTGAAGGGCCTCCCCGCCCCTCCCACCCACTCACCCTCCACGGGGACCCAGCCGGAGGGGATCTGGAAAAGCCTCTGGCTTTGCTCGCCCAGCCCGTGTGACCCACAGTGCTTCTGGACAGGTTGATCATTCACCAGCGCAGCACCAAGCTCACGCCCTCTTTCCCGACCTTTTCCACCTAAGCAATCTCATCTGATGCTCAATCCTGGTCTTATTTCATAGACACACGAGTTTCAACACAGGGTCACTCTGTGTGTGAGAAGCCCTGAGAAACGGGGTGCTTTCTGCGTGGTGATCATCTGGGGCTAGAAGCCCGCCTAGGGGGTGTCCTTCCAGGCTGGGGGCCGCCCTTCTGCCCTCTCCTCTACAGTCCTGGGAGGGCCCAGGCTGCCCCCCTCACCGTAGGCCTGGCTCCCACTCGCAGAGAAGGCCTCATCTTAGCCCCAGGTGTGGGCCTGGATCGGCAGGAAGCCCACCGTCTCCTCGTGCCTGGCACCTTCTGGGAATAGGAGACGAATTACTGGTGGAGGTCGCACAGCTGCTAGAAGAATTCACTCTAGAAAAAGCAGGTGCTCCATTCTCCAGTCAAAGCCCTGGGTTGGGGGACACCCAGGTTTCTAGAACCTGTAAGATCGTTCTGTGCTGTTAGCCCATGGTGAAAGAGCCTAGCTGGGAGGTAGAAAGTCTGATATGCCTGTTTCCTTTGCAGATTGCCCTCGCCTGGAGGAGGGGGGTGTTCTCAGCCGCACGGCTTCGTATTCCAGCCGGCTTCATCTCCAAGCACATCTCCAACGTCTCATTTAAATATTGCACACAGGACACGGAAGGTGGAAATACAGACGCATAGGCGTTCAGAATCTGACGCATTGAGTGTCTCTCCTGATTCAGGGCGCGTGACGCCGCTGGTACAGGACTGTGGGGGGCGGGGGGAGCTCTGTGAAAGCCGGGGAGCCGCGCCTTAGGCTGGCTGCTAAGGGCTCCAGGGGAAACCCCAGCCACTGAACTGCTTCCCGGCGCCTGTCCTCCCTTGGCCAATGTCCACTTATCGACAGGTGCATGGGGGACCAGTCAGCCATTTAACATCCACCCAGGAACCTGTGGCCCAACCCCCACAAGGCACAGGGCCCTGGAAGGTGGCAGCTGCTCTGTGGCTCCTCTCCTGGCTCCTCTAGGGACCCTGTCCCCAAGGCCGCTGTGCGACTTCTGCCTCTTCAGGGGTCTCTGGGTTTCCAGGCCATGGGCGGGGATGTGGGAGGCTCAAGTCACCTCCCAGACCCCCCTCAGATCAGTCAGCTGGAGGAGGCCACCTCCTGGCCCCTCTTGCCCCAGAAACACCTGCAGCCCTTTCCTTCCTGCAGGGAGCCTCGGTGCCCACCGCTTCCTTCCCTGTGTCCCCATCCTGCTGTGCTGGCAGCTGGAGCCTCCTCTTCCGGGCTCTTCCTGCCCTGCCCTGTCGAGTGCCCCACTTTGGACCCTGCACTGGTGTGGCTGGGCATGTTCCCATCTGTTTTGCCTTGTGGGCTTCGGCGGAGGGCTGGTGTTCCTCTGCCCTCTGGCCTGTCCAACTCTGAGTCCTAAATTTGGGGTTGGTAGACAGGGTTACCATGGTGGGGGATTCCTCATTTTGGCCATGGGTGGGTGGGCAAGAGATGCCCCCAGGGTGAGGGTGGATAGAGCAGCCATCCTGTGGGTCAGGTTAGATGCCAGGTCCCATTGGCCAGGGACACCCCTCTCTAGCCCCTCGCCCCTTCCTCCACCAAGACAGGAGCCGCACGGGCTCCGGGCAGGGAATTCCCGTGCCAGCTGTGTAGCCAGGACGCAGCTGCCAGGACGCAGCTGCCAGTGTGGCTGTCGCCAGCGCCCTTTCCTTCATGCCATTTGCATTCTTGGGTACAGCCGGTTCAGTTTCTGGTCCTGCCCCACCCTGGCAGCCATGACACCCTCAGGCTCTGTACTTGAGAGAACCGGTTCCGAGGTGGGTGAGGCTCTGTCTGAAACATCGAGTCCCAGGGATGCCCAGGGAAGCCACAGGCTTAGGAGGACGCCAGGGAGCCGCTGGCCCCAGACACCTGGCAGCCCTGCCCCGCCAACAGCCAGGCTGGAAAAACCTACCCGAGGTCTCCTGTGTGGAGAGGAGGCGGGGGACTGGGTAGCCTGAGGCCTGAGAGTCACGCAGATGCATGACTCAAGGTCACCTTGGATGTGACTCATGGCCCTGCACTCCCAACTGCCATCACACTTCCAATAATAACCGTGCACATCACCAGGGCCTCCCGGGCCAGCACTGCCCTGGCTTCCTGCGCACCTGCTCACGTGGAAATTGGCTGTCATTGTGCCCACTGTAAAGATGGGAAGATCCTTTCCATCCTGGCCCGACTGGGAGCTCATGACACCTGCCTTCCACTCCCCAGAAGTGCGTTTCCATGGAGGCCTCGCCCTCTTGGCAAGGAGACCATCCTGGGGGAAGGGCAGGCGTGCTGCATTAGGGGGCCTTAGGACCCTGCTGGAACTCCTCGGGACCTGGAGATTTTTCTGGAAGACCAAGCTGTCACCACTGGAGATTCAGCCCCCAACCTCACTCTTGGGTTACCTGATGCTGCCTTCAGGGGTTTCTGGGCGGGGCTGGTGGAGGGAGGAGGGGCACCTTGTCCTGCCTGCCTCCAGATGACGGTGGTGGCCCACACAGCAGGCTCGCTTCTTCCCCGTGCCTGACCATCAAGCGGCCCCTGACAAATGCTCCGACAGACACGCATGCTCACCAGGGACCTGATCCCAGACCCTTCCGCTGGGGGCTGCTTGGGGTTCTCTGGCTGGTGGGGTGCTCTTGAGGGGACTCCCCTATATGGAGGACATTGCTTGCTCCATCCATGCTCATGCACACACTGTCAGCCAGTGGGGGAGTGAAGGGCGAGTGCGTGGCCCCTGGGCTAGGTCTGCCTAGGGTCCCTTTATGCCCCCACCCCCTCCAGACTCTCCTCTTCCTTTTCCACTTTGAGATAAGTCTTCTCTTCCACTGAGCCTCAGGCCACAGATGCCCACGAATTTCCAATGGGCATTTACACAGTGGCCGTGGCCGGGTGTGCACTGCTGCACTTGGACAGTTACCCCGCCCCCCTCCAGCTGCCCCATGGACTGCACAGGAACCTGGGCAGTGCAAGTTGCCACCCCTGCCCTTGGAGGCTTGTGGCTCCACAGCACCATGGTTGCAAATGTCCTTTGCCCTCAGGAAGGTGCAGAGAGGAAGCCCTGGTGACCTTCCAGACAGCCTTCTTTTGAGTTCCCAAGGCCTGCTGGCGAGAAGCGGCTCCCACAAACCCGATGGTCACTGGTCAGGGTGGATGCGTCCACCCCCCCATGCCCACCCCTGTGTCTTGGCCGAGTCCTGCTCCTAAAGGTAGGGGCCACCTTATCATCTGTGACAGGTCCCCTGTATCCCCACAAAAAATATGCAGATGCCCTGCCCCTGGCATCAGCGAACGTGACCTTTCCCTGACACCTCTCCTCTCACCCCAATCAGGTGCTCAGGCATCCATGGGGTGGGAGGTGACCCCTAGGTGTGATCTCCCTACCATGCTGGGGTCTAGGTGGGTGGCAGGAAGCAGGCAGCTCTGGACATGGCAGGAGGGCTGCTGCCCTCCAGCGGGTTGAGAGTATTTTCTGGGCTGAAGAAGTTGGGGAAATGCTGCTGGCCCCAACCACCCTGACCCCACCCCAACACCTGTGAGGGGAGACTTTCCTCCCCTGCCAGCTCAGCCCTGGGATCCCAGCTGACCCCGGTATCACCACCTCTGAGAGCTGGACTAAAAGTGTGCATCTGAAGGAGATCAGAGGCGATCCCCAGAGGCACCGACTCTCAGTGCACAGCCCCTCGGGGCCTTCAGGTCCCAGCAGGTGTCGGTGACAGGAGGATGCCTCCGGTGAGACAGCCAGGCTGTGTGGTGCTGGGCACGAGGCTCAACAGAAATGGACTCCCTTCCTTTTCCTGTGAAAGGAGGTGGGGATTGTGCTTTGTCACCCATGGCACAGAAAGGGGACAGCGTTTCCCAGGAGAGGAGGAGAGGAGGGAGTATTGGCTAGGAGCACAGAGCTTTGGCCGGAACTCAGCTGATGCGCAGCCACGATGGCAGAGCCGCTTGGTCTGCAGAAACTGAGAGCCATGGTGGGGCGCTGGGTGCCGGAAGGAAGGAAGAAGGGGGAGGTGGGAGAAAGGGAGGGAGGAAGGGAGGAGAGGGCAAGCTTGACACTCCTCCAGGCTTCAGACTCCTCTGGGAGGTGGGGAGGAGCAGAGTCCACTCCCTGGGGCAGCAGCTGTCTGGGTCACTGCATCCTGAGAGCTGGGGCCCAGGACCTCCCTGGGCTGGAGGACAGGGCTAGGAGGATGCTGAGTTGGAGAAGGGTGTGACCTCTGGGCCTGCTTCCCAGACAGCCACCGGGACCCCGCCCGCACCCCTGCAGCTCCTGTGCTCCCTGGGCACCGTCCTTGCAGTCCACCCTCAGCCCTATAGGCTGGGAGCTTTGAACCCAGGTAAGCACCCTATTGCAGACACACCCAGATCTCGGCGGCACCCTCAAAGCCACTCGGGTCCCCTCCCTCTACCACAGTCCCTCTCCTGGCCATTGGGTTCACTCACTTCCCAGCAACCTCGCTGGTGCCACTCACACCCACTGGGGCTCCTGCCCCACCTCTGCCAGGGAGTCTGCAGAGGGCCCTTCCTTCCCAGATGGCACCTCCGGGGGCCTCCTGGCCATACTGGCAGCAGTGCCACCATCACCCGTCTCTCGCTGGAGCCCCTCCCCGGTGGCTGTGGCTGGCCTGAGCTCTGTGAGGTCCCTGCTGGAGCCCCGTGCTGGGTTTCACGTCCATCAGTACTGTTGGATGGACAGACAGGGAATGAGTGAATAAGGAATGGATGGATCAGCCTCTACTTAACCTTGCCAGCAATGGGAACTCCACCGCCCCAGCAGGCAGCAACAGCAAAGCCTGAATCCAGAAGCCTCTGTCTCTGCTGGCCAGATCCTGTCCCGGAGTTTGCCATGAGTGTCTCAGAGCAGAACACTGCCTCTGGCCTCCTTGGGGTCCTCCAGGCCTGCAGGCTTGCCCTCAAGTCCGAGAAAGGAGTGAGAAGCCCAAGGCTTTGGCCCCATTAGAGGGTTCCCGGGGGCACCGAGTGACAACTCCTCCTAGTTCTGACTGGCCTTCTCTCCACTCACCCTTGAGCGAAAGGTCCCCTCGCCTCTATGTACGAGCCTGCCCGTGGACCTCTGGGCAGAATCCACACCGGGAGCCCCATTTAACTTCCTCCCATCAGCTCCCACAGTTTATGGTTCCTGTTAGTGTGTCTGTGTCTGTGTATGTATGTGAATGTGTGAGTGTGTAGATCTGTGTGTCTGTGTGTGCATGAGTATGTGTGGACATGAGTATAGATGCCTATGTACATGTGTGTCTCAGTGAGTGTGTGTGTGTACAGGAATGTGTTGGTGTATATGTTTTTGTGAATGTGTAGATGTGTGTCTGTGTGAGTGTGTGTGTAGGGTGAGTGTGTCTGTGTGAATGTACCTGCATGAATGTGTGAATGGTTGTGTGTGTGTGTATGACCAACCGTGTGTGTCAGTGTGAGTGTGTGAGTGTGAATGTGTGAGTGTGGGAGGGTATGTCTGTGTCAGTTTGCCTGTGTGAATGTGTGAGTATGAACAGCTGTGTGTGTGTATATGACTATGAATGTCACTGTGTGGGTCTATGACTGTGTGTGTCTCAGGGAGTGTGTGTACATGTGAGTGTGTGAGTGTGGGGGTGAGTATGTGTGTGCCTTTGTGAATGTGTGAGTGGGAATGGCTGTGTGTGTGTACCTGAGTGTCACTGTGTCGGTCTGTGTGTGTCAGTGAGTGTATGTGTCTATGTGAGTAGTGTGTGTGGGGGTGTGTGTGCCTGTGTGAATGTGTGAGTGGGAATGGCTGTGTGAGTGTGTGTACCTGAGTGTCACTGTTTGGGTCTGTGTGTGTCAGTGAGTGTATGTGTCTATGTGAGTAGTGTGTGTGGGGGTATGTGTGCCTGTGTGAATGTGTGAGTGGGAATGGCTGTGTGAGTGTGTGTACCTGAGTGTCACTGTGTCGGTCTGTGTGTGTCAGTGAGTGTATGTGTCTATGTGAGTGTGGGTGGGGGTGTGTGTGCCTGTGTGAATGTGTGAGTGGGAATGGCTGTGTGAGTGTGTATACCTGAGTGTCACTGTTTGGGTCTGTGTGTGTCAGTGAGTGTATGTGTCTATGTGAGTGTATGTGTGGGGGTGTGTGCGCCTGTGTGAATGTGTGAGTGGGAATGGCTGTGTGAGTGTGTATACCTGAGTGTCACTGTTTGGGTCTGTGTGTGTCAGTGAGTGTATGTGTCTATGTGAGTAGTGTGTGTGGGGGTGTGTGTGCCTGTGTGAATGTGTGAGTGGGAATGGCTGTGTGATTGTGTGTACCTGAGTGTCACTGGGTCTGTGTGTGTCAGTGAGTGTATGTGTCTATGTGAGTGTGTGTGGGGGTGTGTGTGCCTGTGTGAATGTGTGAGTGGGAATGGCTGTGTGAGTGTGTATACCTGAGTGTCACTGTTTGGGTCTGTGTGTGTCAGTGAGTGTATGTGTCTATGTGAGTGTGTGTGGGGGTGTGTGTGCCTGTGTGAATGTGTGAGTGGGAATGGCTGTGTGACTGTGTGTGTGCATGACTATGCGTGTCACTGTGTGGGTCCGTGCATGTGTCAGAGTGTGTGTGTGCGTCTGTGAACGAGTGTGTGCAGGTGTGTGATGTTTGCACGGATGTGGCTGTGTTGGTATGAGTGTGTCAGTGCGTCCGTCCTTTCTGGGCCAGCATCAGAGTCCCTGAGTCTCTGGGGCCCTGGACCACTCTCAAATGGGACCTGCAGGACACTGCAGCAGGTGCAGAGGGCACACAGAGGGTGCCTGGGCCAGGAGCCTGTCATCTCTGGGGGAAGCCGACTGCCCCCTGACCAGCCACTCCCAGCAGGGTGCAGCCTGGACTGAGGGGAAAGAACCATCCACCCTCACAGGCCAGCCTGGCGGATCCCAGAGTCAAAAGCAGACAGCGACAAAGCCAGGCCGGCTGCTGTTGGCACTGGCACTGACGTCACTTCCCCGGGCACAGATGGTGCTCCTGCTCTGTGCTGGCCTCAGGAGAGTGTCCTTGGGCACAGCCAGCACACAGGCCAGGCACTCCTTGCAGGCTGAACGCATGACCAGGCTGTTGGGATGGGTGCCTTTGTGCCCAGGTTGGGAAACCAAGGAGGGCGGAGGAGAGGGGAAGCAATCACAGGAGACACATAAGGTCCTCCCAGGAGCCTCAGGGTTAGGAGACAGGGGAGGAGGGCCAAGACAGGAGACAGGGAGCGAGACGGGGCAGGGGCAGAGCTGAGCAGCCCCCTTCTCCCTCATAGTGGCCAGTGACAGGTGGCTACCATGGCAGTGTGCCAGGGCACACGCTTAGGTGAGGGCCACTGGCTGAGGAGGGCAGGGGGTGAGATGGACTCCCCACCCCAGGCCATGTGATGCTGCGGAGAATCTCACAAAGTCCACTGTGGTGGGAGCTGCAGGCTCCTCCCGGCTGCTCTTTGCTAATGAAAACCACGTGCTTCCCAGGGAGCTGGTGCTATGTGCCCCCTGACCCTTGTCCAGGCATCTCTTGGATGCTCCGGGCCCAAGATCATCACAGGCCCCTGAAGTCAGGGCGTGTGAGTGCTGGACCCCCATGCCGGGTTCCACCCTCCTCATGTACCCGGGGAGGGCAGTGGCCTATGAGCAGCTGGGTAGCGGGAGCCCACAGTAGCAGGGGCGATCCAGGTGTGCCCAGTGCCACCTGCAGGCTCTCACCACACGGCCCAGCAACCCAGGTGGACCTTCTCACTGCTCCTCGGAACCCGCATTTCCCTCAGCAGGTGGCCACCCTCAGCCCCCACGGTCAGGGAAGCTCAATGACGGAGGTCGTGACCCCATCGAACGCACAAGCCCTCCGTCTGCCCTCCGAAGGCCCCTAAAACATGTGGCCTTGAGGTTTGCGTTAATTGCCGACTCCCAGACCAAGACAAATTGAATGAGCAAAGGCACAGGGTTAATTCTGCCCCCAAACAAGCTAAGCTTCCCAAGGGCAAGCTGGGAAGGTGTCCTGAGGACCCCTAGCCACACCAGACACAGAAAGTCTGCCTGTCTGGACCACCGGGGCTCTGCCGACCCCTCCCATGGGAGACAGTGTGGCCAGTGATGCCTGGGGCTCTGTGGTCAGAACGATCACCTGTTTTCAAAACGGACCCCACAGGATCTTTCAACACCAGCAAAACATGCTAATATTTATTGTTGGAAATAGATGCTCAGTGCTGCAGAGAGAGATCAGCACAGAGACAAAGGACCTTTCAGCAACGCAGCTTTTACTTCCTGGGCTGCAGGAAGGGTGCTCTTGCTAGCGGTCTTGCCACGAGAGTGCCATAAACAAAGGAAAACACACGTTTGTCCCTTACGCATTTGGGGCCGTCCTCACTGCTGTGTCTGATCTCCGCTGGCTGGAGCCAGACCTCACAATCTAAACTAAACCCAGACTGGCTAACAACTCAACACTTTCCTAAGCAGGTAACAGCAATGCAGAGCTGGGACAGGCCTGTGAGCACGTCCCGCACAGATATCCTGGTTAAAGTACAAGGACACGGAACGTACTACGTGCCTGTAAGCACGGCGTGTCTAACAGCTACGTAGGATAGGGCTTCACAGTCGTTAGCACACTTACTCTTTAAAGAAAGGAAACTTTAAAAAGCAACTTTTCTACTTCCCACATTTATTTTCTTAAAATGCTTTTTCACATACGCATGGGAAAAGTTCTGATCACATAAATCTGCTGCCGGTGTCCTTCAGAGACGGAGGACCTTCTTCAAACCACCAGGAAGTCCCAGAGGAAACACTGGGAAACCTTCATGTGTCGAGCACGTCCTGTGTGAGCCCACGGGGTGGCCACCGCAAAGGACCCCTGCCGGGGGCTCCAGCAGCAGATGCGGCTCTTCTCCCGTTCTGGAGGCTAAAGTCCGAGGTCAGAGCGTGGCAGGGCTGGTTCCTCTGAGCCTCTGCCCATGGCTTTCAGGTGACCATCTTCCCCCTGAGTCCTCATGGGCGTCCCTCTGCACGTGTCTCTGTCCACATCTCCTCTCCTTGTAAGGACACCAGCTATGCTGGATTAGGGCCCAGCCTCACGCCTCCTTTTAACTCATCTCTCTCCAGATCCTATCCAAATAAGGTCCCGTTCTGAGGGTTAGGGCTTCAACATACCATTTCTGCAGGACACAGTTCAGCCTATATGCCCCTCCGAGGTTCCACTGCACCCCAGCTTTGCACATTCACCTGTGAAGCCTTCTCAATGCTTGTTCAGGTAGGAACCACGGAGGTAGGAGGCGGGACTTAACCCCGGACCAGACTGAGGACTGCCGAAACAGGAAGGAGTCGGGAGCACCTCTCCATAAGACACGCCCTCCAGGGCCAGGTCAGTTTACCATTGCTATGGCAACACTTGGAGGTTACCACCTTTTCCATGGCAAACGCCTGGAAGTTCCCTCCTTTTTTCTAGAAATTTCTGAATAACTCACCGCTTAATTTGCATGTGATTAAAAACACGTATAAACGTGACTGCAGGCCTGCCCCTGGGCACTGCTCCCCACGCTGCCGGGAGGTGGCCTTGCTCTGCAGGCCCAGTCACAGAACTGTGACATGCCACCTCAGTGAAGCTGTTTCCTTCCATCTCCTGCTCACTCTGGAATTGTTTCCTAGTGAAGCCAAGAACCTTCCTGGGCTAAGGCCCAGCTTCGGGGTTCACCACCCTGTGTCACCACCATGACCCTAGTTCCAGAGGAGAAACTGAGGCCGTGAGAGCCTTCCAAACACAAGGCGGAGCTGCTGGGATCCCCGGCTGAATAATGTCACCCATGATAGGGGCCTCCCCTTATCGTTGACACCCATCTGCAGTGCTGTTCCAAACACAGCCTGCCAGCACCGCGTGGCTGAGAAAAACGCTGTGACACCAAGCACACACCCGGGCGGTCCAGCCAGATCAGACCCCAGCATGCAGCAGCCACCATGAAGCATCAGACACGTGTCTGCATGCTCGTGTCCTTGAGCAGCTCCAAGGTCAAGAGGGTTGACGGAAACCTCAAGGGGCCTTCAGCATTCTCCGGGCAGACCTCTCTCCTGTCTGAAGTCCACAGGGGCGTCAGTAGTGAAACCAGTCAGTCACTAAGCTCCTCAGGGTTTGCTCAGCTCCCAGACTGACGGGCCCAGCAAGTCCGAGAGCTGCCCAGGGAGAGCCACGACCGCGTGCGTGACGGTCTGTGGCCCCAAACAGCGTCCAAACAATAATGTTCCGGGAAATGATGAAATCGGGGTTGAATACACGTGACCTATGTTTTAGGGTTGATTCAGGCAGAGATGGGCACACACACAACACAGCCCTCACACACACACAACACAACACTCACACACACACAACACAGGTCTCACACACACACAACACAGCCCTCACACACACAACACAGCCCTCACACACACACAACACAGCCCTCACACACAACCCTCACACACACAAACACAACCCTCACACACACACACAACACAGCCCTCACACACACACAACACAGCCCTCACACACACACACAACACAACCCTCACACACACGCACACAACACAGCCCTCACACATACAACACAGCCCTCACACACACACACAACACAGCCCTCACACACACACAGCCCTCACACACACACACATCCATACACAACACCCCCGTCACACACCCACACCAGACACACACATACACCACACACACATACCAACTCACAGCACACCACACCTCACCCCTGCCCTCCCCATCCCCTCAGTGCTGGCATGAGTGTGGGCTGCAGACCCTAGGGCGGTGGTTCTCAGAGACCCCGGGCTGGTAGGCTAAGGGTGGTCAACCCTAGTTGCCATCCATATCAGGGGGGCTCAGAGGGCTGGGCAGTCCGGATATGGGGGCACAGCCAGTCAGGGAACATGCCAGGTGAGGCTGGGGGTCTGCTGGCAGCAGGGGTGAGCCACCCTGCCAGGTGGTAGGAAAGGGGAAAGCGGTGACATCATGGGGCAGTCACTCACTGAATCTGGAGAGCAGCTTCCACCCAGCACTCCTGCAGGGCCGGCCCAAGGCTGCGCTGTCCTGAGCTCTCCAGGCTACGCTGGACCCTGTCTGCATAGAGAAGCCTGGGGGTGGAGGCTGCTGGGTCAGCAGGGGCTCTGGCAGATTGGGAAGTTGGGGTCAAATCCCCAGGTCCCCTCAAACAACCCACCTCATCAAGGGCTCTGCATCCAAAACAGAGCCAGGTGAGAAGACACCAAAGCAGGACCCCCACCTCAATCGAGGACCCTGGCCAGCCCATGGGCCAACGGAGACGAGGACACAGGAGCAGAACTGTGGCTCACCCGCAGCCCGGAGCCGAGCCGGGCACACACCGCAGGCATAGCTGCTGAGCAGGAGCCACAGGCAGTTATTTCAGTGGTTGTGTGTGTTACACAGCACTAGTGTGACAAGAGCTGACAGAAGGGGCCCGTGTCTGCATCATCAAGAGTACCCCGCCTGCACCCCACCACCCTCGTTCACCCCAATCCACAGGTGGGCTGAAAGGTCCTGACGCCCAGCCACCATCTCTGTGACTCCTGCTCCCACCAGCTCAGGCAGGGAAGCACTTTCAGGCCCAGAAGGCTCCCAGGAAGCTCCACGCGTTCCAGGCTTTTCCCTGGCTTGGGTTTATTTCCCCGGCCAGGAGACCCTGTTGGCTTCTACGGAACGCGTCCTCCAGGAGGAGGGTGAAGGCGGGCGCCCCACGCTGCCCACCCGCACTCGCCGAGTCCTCAGTCTCAGCAGCCGTCCCCGACCCCTGGGTTTGGAAACAAGTCCAGCAGCCCCGAATCTGGAGGCTGAGGGCCGGGGGCACAGGCTGTCCTCCTCTTGCCCCAGGACCCTCAATTCACCCTGGACCCCGGGTTCCAAGGCAGGGCGGTGCGCTGCGCCACGGGCGGGGGAATGGCCCCTTGCTCCTCCCCCAGCTCCTGCTCAGCCTCCGGAGCTGCCAGGCTGAAAAAGCCGCCCTGGTCAGCTTTGACGCAGCTGTCGGCTGGCGTGTTTCACCGAACAAGTCCTGGCCGGTCTTGCTCCCGCGCTCGGGCCCCAGGCACACGCCCACACACAGCCAGGCGTGTGCACATTCGGGCAGTCACGTAGGAAGAGCAGGCCTCGGAGCCCTCGTGCAAAGGCAGCCGGGCCTGGGAGAGCCAGGCAGCGTCCCAAGGGGGCCCTTGGAATGCGTCCTCTGCGGGCAGGGACAGGGACCCGGCACCCGGCTTCCGGTGGGACTCACGCCGCTGGCGCCTCCCATCTTGGGAACAGAAGGGCCTCTAAACTGGAAGGTGGAACACAAGGCATTTTTTATCTTGAAACAACAGCTCCGTGGCGAACTCGAGATGCCCTGGGAATGTGTGAAGGCTTAGGCTGTGGGGCCGGCAGGGGCCTGTGCTGGGTGCCAGCCTCCAAGGCCCTCCCTGTTTGTCGCCAGGAAAGAGTCACCCTCCAGCCACCTAAGTCCCACTGAAGGGGCAGCTCTCCTGGCCCATGCCCCTCCTCACCAGCCAGCAGTCCACAGCCTCTGAGGGCCCCAGTTCCTGCACCTGCAGCTGGGCGTGGCGGCTCACACCTGCAATCCTAGCAACTCCTACTGAGCCAGGAGGATTGCGTGAGGCCAGGAGTTTGAGACCAACCCGGGCAACATAGCAAGATCCCACCTCTACAAAAACTTTTTTTTAACACAGATTAGCCAGATGAAGTGGTACACACCTGTAGTCCCAGCCACTCAGGATGCTGAGGTGGGAGGGTCACTTGAGCCCAGAAGTTCGAGGTTGCCCTGAGCCATGCTCATGCCTGAGCAACAGAGTGAGACCCTGTTGTAAAAAAAAAAAAAAAAGTTTGTGCACCTGCAGAATGGGATGATCTCACCACTTCTCACAGATGCTGCAAAGCTGAGCAGGGGGGAGCTTGTGAATAAGGGTCTCTCAGGGATGCTTCTACGCGCATCTATCTCTCATCCTAGCAACAAGGGGGAAGGCGCAGTGATGGATGGTAGGCACCTCTCCCTGCCACTCCCGCCCTACGTGGGCCTGAGGGCCCAGGGGCTGGGGTGGCTATGGAAGAGGTGCCAAGGGCAAGAACCCATCCTCTGAGTTCAACACAGGCTGCAGAGGAGCAGGTAGGAAGGCCATGGAGGCGAAGAAGAGAGGCTGTGAGGAGAGGCAGGGGCCACTGCCAAGGACTGACTGACCGACACTGGGTTAGGGGGCCTCACTGCCAAGTCAGCCATTGAGGGTGAACCACGCCACGTGTGTCACCTACATGTGGCCCGTCTGAGCACCAGGAAAGGGGGATGCTGCCCAGGGTCCAAGCACAGGCACGGCAGGAGTGCTGGGTATGGGGGTGTCACAGGCAATCACTTCCACAGGGGCCCCTCTCTGCTGCCCCTCTCCTGAGGCCCCATTCCAGCTGGCAAGGGAGCACCCCGTACCCCCCTCCGTGCCCCTGCCGCAAGGGAGCACCCCATCCCCCCGCCATGCCCCTGCCGCAGACTCTCCATCTCGGCTTCCACATCATTCCCCATCGGGGTAGGCAGAGCTTCGGTACATTCTAACCAGTCAAGAACTAGTTCAGCAAAAAGCGCAGGCCATTGTCTGGTCATTTGCAGCAGAAAAGTACAGTGTCTCTTTTAAAAACTAATATTTAAAAGACAGAGTGAGGCTGGGCTCACGCCTGTAATCCCAGCACTTTGGGAGGCTGAGGCAAGTGGATCACCTAAGGTCAGGGGTTCGAGACCAGCCTGGCCAACATGGAGAAACCATGTCTCTACTAAAAACACAAAAATTAGCCGGGCAAGATGGTGGGTGCCTGTAATCCCAGCTACTCGGGAGGCTGAGGCAGGAGAATTGCTTAAGCCTGGGAGGCGGAGGTTGCAGTGAGCCAAGATCTCGCCACTGCACTCAAAGGCAACAGAGTGAAACTCCATCTCAAAAATAAACAAATAAATAAATGCTAGTGTGAGAGGAAGCAGGAAATTAAGGAGAAGCTGGGGGGTGAGAGGAATCGGGAGATGGAGGGGAGCTGGGGGTGAGAGGAAGCAGGAAATGGAGAGGAGCTGGGGGGGTGGGAGGAAGCAGGAGATGGAGGGGAACTGGGTGGGGGGTGGGAGGAAGCGTGAGATGGAGGGGAACTGGGTGGGGGGTGGGAGGAAGCGGGAGATGGAGGGGAACTGGGTGGGGGGTGGGAGGAAGCGGGAGATGGAGGGGAGCTGGTGTTGGCTATGCCCATGTTGTTTTCAGTGGCTGGAGTCCCAGAGCCATTTAAGGCCCTACGGTGACACCTTAGCCATGAGCTAGGCTGGTAGCACAGGGAGGTAACGGAAGCCCGGCGCCGCCATCACTGAATGACAGGCCAGG